AGTTCTAAAATAAGTATTAGTGAAGAGCTATAATAATGCTTGATTAGGTGGAAGTTAATGCTAAAGCAGCTGACGATAAACAATTAGTGCAACGTCTTCGAGTGTTACAGAAGATTCATGACCACGTTAAGGTAAAATCACAAGGACATCCTTTTCAGAGTCTAACACCTGATACTCAATCTGAACCATTTCTAGATGATTCGAGAACATTCTGACGACACGGAGGAAGACGGAAAAGTAGCGCTGGAATGGCGATTCGCCGCGATTGTTGTAGATCGTCTGGGACTCATCTCATTCTCAGTGATTATGGTTGTCACAACGTTGGTGATCAGTTTGCGCGCTCCATACTTGATGGCTTAGTCAATCTGTTATATGTTAGATTCTCACATCGACATGTGCTAAAGCGCTTGAAAGAAATTTCTCTAAACTTTCTCGTCAAGATGTGATTTTACATTTCCTATGTTCTACGTAAACCGTGTCCTCTAATAATCAGTCTATCCTTCAAAAAATCCATATGAGTGAATTCTGTAGGAATCAATTTTATCACTTTTTAAAGATGTTGATTTGTTTGTGCTAAAAGACGTGTAATCTACTGGTTGTACATAATTAATGTTCAGTAAAACTTCATTATTTCAATGGTTATATATCTTTCTACCCACAAGACATACAAGATAGGAAATCGTTGAAAAATTTCACACTGGACCAGCTGGCCTGAATCAAAATTCAGGGTTTTGAGGGAAACTTTGTGCTACTTCGCGTTGGTAGTTATAACACTCCAAGCTGTGTGTATATGTAACAATAACGATTAAAGATCTGGAAACTGCAGAAGCAGATGAAGAGCCAACAGAGGAAAATGGTAACCTAAAAATTGTGGCAACGTCATCTTATTCTAGTTCAGCTTAGTGGAGAACGGTAAATTCGGTTTATTTAATGATAGGAAAAAGCAGAAGATTAATAGAGCAGCTGCACGTGGACCTGACAAAAAATAGAAAAAATAATTAAGTAAAAAATGTTTTCCCGTTCATTCTCTTGTCATATGTAGTGGTAACAATTATTTTTACTTCGAACTAAGTTCGGAATGAATTTTGG